ATTAGGGTTTCCGGAAAGCATAAATGGGCTGCTGGGATGACTACAAAAGGGGTTTTATCACAGGTTACCCAATGAAATAAGCACAGGATTAAGTGAAAAGACTCCTAAAGACTGAGACCATGCAGGTTATCCCTCACTAGTAGAGGAGGTAAGACATTCAAAGAGACGGCCAACTTACATTGCAGTTTGATGAGCCATCAAATGAGGGGTATGAACCATCTGGCCAGTCGGCAGGATCCAATGCAACTGAATGTCGGTGCTGGGCCTCGTACTCCTTGAGCTGCAATGAGAGGGTACTTTATATGGGAAAAGTGGCCAAGAACTGTCTACTTAATGTGGACACATAGCTTTGGGCACCTTCTTCAACCCACTGTGGGTTGCTAAGTGTCAGCCAAAGACAGGGTTCCAGAACTGAGAGGGAGATACGTTCCCTGCCCTGTGGGTTTTCATCTAAATCAAACCAACAGACACGAGGCTTTCTTTGTATTCTATATTATAAGATGTCTTCCCCTTCTGTTATTATCTGACCTTGAGCATCTAAAACTATCTTTCTGAGTTCAGTTATAAGTGTGAAAACAGAAAATGTCTATAGTTTAGACTATGAGTTACCACACCACGTGTATAAGTCACAAACACACACTCCATCTTTCAGGAAGATCCAAAGTGGCAGGATACAGAAATTTTAGTAAAACCAATATGGAAACTTGGAATGTAAGTTTTTAAATCACTTGCTGTTCTTGTTCAAGACTGCTTCAAGTTACCAGTCCAAGGTTCTCGCCTAATAAATGTGATGAGGCTCACTGGGAACACTGAAGGGGAGAAGGAAGATAAGATATCTACAAGATCGTCAGAAACGTTTAAAGTTTGCATTTAGAACCTATGTTTCTAGTTTTTGAAAAATATAGAAAAGCAAATAAAACATTATAGAGACATTAGCAAATTACACCTGGCAGATCAGATGCAGGATGGTTCAGAATGTCATAGGTGAGAAGTTCATTAACGCACAGAAATTTGACTCTATTACTTCATAACAGCAGTTGTTGTTGTTGTTGTTGTTAAGTACCATGGAGTTGGTTCAGTCTCATAGTGACCCTGTACAGGGTTTCCGTGGCTATAAATCTTTATGGGAGCAGAAAGCCTCGTCTTTCTCCTGCAGAACAGCTGGTAGTTTCAAACTGCCGACCTTGAGGTTAGCAGCCCGATTCGTAATCACTATGCTACCAGATGTCACTAAATTAAAATCTGATTACAAAGCAGCCTTTTACAGATGAATTTAGATAGAGCATTGAATAAACCATGGCCCATGAACCCAAGTAACTGAAAAAACCAGAGATGATATAAACTGAAAGCTCTCGTGGTAGAATCAGAACAGCCCTTGCCCACTAGGGCTATGTGGGCTGTGACAAAACCATCACACAATTATCCCCCAAGGAAAAAGTGGTTTTCCTGTTGTTTCTACCCATGGAATTCTTTTCTATACATATATACATGATGAGATGTGGCCAGAAGGTGGCAGACACCTAAAAGGTTAGGTGCAGAAGCCAGAGTCCAACACAGGACCCTTGAGCAAATGACTTAACCCCTCTGTGCCTTTGTTTCTATGCCTGGAAAATGGAGGTGATAATAAAATCTATCACACTAGATTAGTAGAGACAGGCAGAGGAGGCTCCTTGGCAGAGCCACACACAAAAAAACAGAGAAGGCACTTTGCTGTAACAGTTCCAGACCTTTAGATCTAATATAAAGGATTGGGGAGGGGAAGGGGGGCGCTCAGTTTTGGACACCCACCTATGGAGAAATTTGACTGCACCAGGAATATAAGGTGGTTTCTGAATTGTTCAGGACGCTGCCTGCGGGCCCCTTAGCCTGGGCAGACACCAGAGGGTGGGACCACAGCCAGGCTGGTACAGCGCCAAGGCCACGCTTAGAGTGACATATGGAAAAAGAGGTGTGATGGCTTTTTTCACTTTTCTTTCCTTCTCTCCCCTGTTGCACCCTCTCTGCCCAACCTGGGCTACTTCAGGTGGGTGGGAGCACACCCCCAGAAGGGTCCAGCATTGCGCCCACAGGGTAAAATTTTCCCATGGTGCATAGAAGAAATCCCTGAAAGCCACAGCACTCCTACAAGCTAATCCTTTGGCTGCTTCTTATGATGCCTGACTCTGAGATTTCGCACTAAATTTGACTCTCCAACCTGGGCCGGACCCTTTATTCCTGCCTAACCTAACAAGAGACAGCAGGTCTGACCATACAGCCAAACTGTATTTGCACCTTGTAAAACCCTAACATAAAAGACAAGGGCCAACACTAACTACTACATACAAGGATGAAGTCATTTTGAGAATTACGCTGTGCATACGCAGATACCTAATTGACCTTCAGAGATAAAAATAGTGGACAATCTTTCTTCCATTCATTTCTCAATATCTATCTGCACACTTCCACGGTGGTGACAAGAGGAGGGTTTGAGCGAGTGGACGCCTCCATCCACTGCTGGAGGTTTCTACTGTGTATGCACACTGACTTGCATAGCAAAAGCTACTGGACAGTCTGCTACGGTTTTGGTTTTGCATGTTATTTTTTGTCTATGATTTTATTTTATTTTGCTTCTGTTTTTGGTCCTTACGGTCTTATTTTTTTCCTGGGGGTGGGAGTTTTCTCTCCCTACGTTACCCAAGAAGAGACAGCAATCGTGGCCATATATCCAAGCTATAAGCATACCCCATAATATCACACCATCTAGACAGGAGCCAATACCAGCTGCTAGGCATTACACAGATAGCCAACACTTGCCAAGACATAATAAGAGATGTGAAAAGGGAAGCCTATCTCCAGATCACATCCACCAGGAGACAGCAAGTTTAACAACACAGCAATATATATCCATTTAATCATTGAAAACACATCTAACTATTGAAAATGTCCAAGAAAAAACAACAAACAATCTCAGCACTTGTCCAGAAACAGAAAAGAGTAACTGAGACAAATGAGCTGGAGGTTGACATAGACTTCTCATTAGAAGAAGAGCAGGCTTTGGATCTGTCTGAGAAGGAATTCAGAAGAATGATATGGAGACAAATCCAAATGTTTCACAGAAGGGTGGAGGGAAATAAAGAAGGAAACTGCTACAGGAGCAGTAATACAAGATAGATATAGCATTGGAAACAATTCAAAATCTGCAAAAAACAGGTCCAGATGATTAACAATAAAAAATCAGAAATGGACAATACACTGAAAGGGCAAAGTAGTAGAACTGAAGAGATGGAAGCCAGAACCAGCGAGCTGGAAGAAAAACCTCTCAATACTGCTAAGATAGAAGGGCAAACAGAAAAAAAGGATAAAAAAAAAAATCTGAAGAGAGTGTAAGAGTCATCTTGGATAACATGAAGAGGAAGAACAAGAATTATTGGCATTCCAAAACAGAAAGAATCACAGAGGAGATAGTTGAGTAGCTTCTGGAAGAAAATTCACCTAATATCTTGAAGGATGAGAAAATAAACATTCAAGAAGCTGTACGAACCCCAGGAAGGATAGACCCCAAAAGAGAATCACCCAGACAGCATAATCAAGCTCTCCAAAAGCAAAGACAAAGAGAGAATCCTAAACGCAGTCAGGGAAAAGAGAAGTGTTACTTACAAAGGCAAGCAAACCATATTAAGCTCTGATCTCTCAGCAGAAACCATGCAGGCAAGATGGCAATGGGGAGACAAACTGACAACCAAGAATTGTCTACCCAGCAAAACTGTCAATCAAATACGATGGTGCAATCAAAACATTGCAGGATAAACAGAAGCTGTTGTTGTTATGTGCCATGGCATCGGTTCCGACTCATAGTGACCCTGTACAGGGTTTCTGAGGCTGGAAATCTTTATGGGAGCAGAAAGCCTCATCTTTCTCCCGTGGAACAGTTGGTAGTTTCGAACTGCTGACCTTGAGGTTCACAGTCAGATTTGTAACCACTATGCCACCAGAGCTAAGAGACTGTTAAAGCCAACTCAACATTTCAAAACATCCTATAGAGAGTTCTATGGACTAAAAACCAACAAGAACAGACAACAACCCGAGATTGACAGACATGGCAACACCACTTGGAACTCAATCAACAGATAGCAGAGTCCAGAACAGAACAAAACTACAACAACAAATTCAGAAGGCTAAGGAGGTCAAAGATCAAAACAAAGAAAGGAAAAATATAGGAACAGAGATCCAGGTGGTGAGGAAGTAAGATAGATTGCAGAAAACAACAGACTGTCTTAAATGGAGGGAGAAGTTAGTAGACTATAGGGTAACCTCAAAGAAAGTTAATACGTCACAACATACCATGAAAACGGAGATCCAAGTAGAACAAGGAAATATTAAAACTAAGAAGAAGCTGACAAGAACCAGCAAAAAAACACCACATGAACTCAGCACACTAAATTGCTATCAGAATTAAGTAAGGGGACATAAGTGCCCAAGAGCAAAGATGTCAATTTGAGGACTAAAGTTTGCCTGTTCCAAGCCATGGCATTTCCAATAGCTTCATATTGCATTTGAAAGTTGGACAATGAATAAGGAAGACTGCAGAAGAGTTGATGCATTTGAGTTATGGGGTTGGACAAGAATAGTAAAGCTACCATGAACGTCTAGAAGAACCAACAAATCTGTGTGTGGAAAAAGTACAACCAGATGCTCCTTAGAAGCCAAGATGGTCAGACTTCGTCTTTCATACTTTGGACATATTATCAGGAGGGATCAGTCCCTGGAGAAGGACATCATGCCTGGCTAAGTGGAGGGACAGCAAAAAAGAGGGAGACCCCCAATAAGATGGAGTGTTACAGTTGCACCAATAATAGTCTCAAGCGTAGCTGCAATTGTGACTGGGAGGTGGTGTTTCATTCTGTTGTACATCGGGTCGCTATCAGTCGAAACCGATTCAACAGCACTTAACAACAACATGTACAAAGTTCTTAGTGTACTCATTACTATAGCATTATTAGTAACACCTTGTAGCTTCAGATACATGAGAGTTCAACATTAGCACAAGCTCCAGGAGTTGGAACTTCAGGTATTAAGAAGATGGAAAACATTTTAATCTTAATAATAAATTGTTGTCGTCTTTAAGTACCTTCAGTCAGTTCCAACTTATAGCGACCTTCTATACAACAGAATGAAACACTGCCCAGTCCTAGGGCAGGCTAACAATTGTGCTGTGTGTGAGCCCATTCAATTGCTGGAGTCACTGTGTTGGTCCTTCTTGTTGAGGGTCTTGTTCTTTTTCACTCACCTCCCGTTTTACCAAACAAGTTGTTCTTCTCCAAGGGCTGGTCCCTCCTGACAACATGTACAAAGTACATGAGATGAAGTCTCACCATGCTCCCCTCTAAGAGGCATTTTAGTTGTACTTCTTCCAAGACAGATTTATTTTAATACACTGTTGTTCCTAAGTGCTTTCCGGTCAATTCCAACTTATAGCCACCGTGTATAGGGTTTCAAAGGAGCAAATGATGGGTTTGAACTTCTAATCTTGCATGCTTACCCTATAGCACCATACCAGGACGCCTCTCTGATGTGTGCCGTTTGAGTGGTTTCCGACTCATAGTAAACCTGTGTAGGGATTCCGAGACTGTACATTTTAAGAGAGCAGAAGTCTCATCTTCCTTCCTCACAGCAGCTGGTGGATTTGAACTGTGCAACATGCAACTCTCTACGTCACAGAGTGGTAATATTGCCCTAATCTTTATAGTATATTTATGTTATATAATAGGTTGCTTTTTCCTTTTGCGACTTGGGAAAGACTACATTCTCCCTGTATGACTGGAATCATGTCAGTTGAGTAGGGCTCATTACTTGTCCAGGTCTCTGATCCCTTAAGCCCCAATTTCTAAAATTCATGAAATATGCTTCCTTTTTAATTAAACTAGATACAATCATAAACAATGCTTTTCTTCAACTCTCTGTCTCCATTGTCTACTACAGACTCAAATTCTGTATTGTATAGAAATTTTGCCAGCTAACTATCCTAATTTCAAAATGCTATGTGTTTTTTAAATTATAAACATACTATGGTGGAGGACCAGACAGCTTGCCTTTGTTCTACATAAGGTTGCTGAGTCAGAAGCTACTGGATGGCATCTAACAAGATTTTCTAAAAGTGTATTTTACACAAGAAAATAGCAACTTGGTTATTAGGTATATAATTAATTTTTATATTCCACTTTGCTGCTCCAGAGAAATCTTGCTTTCATTATTATTTCATGAAGAATTGACAATTTATTACTTCCATTTGAGCATTTATCAACTTTAAAGCAAGCTTGTAGAGGGTTAGATTAATTTCAGAAGTTTTTAAATAATGACATTTGAAAGTCTATGTGTGTGTATATGAGAATTTGAGTTTGGTTATCTCAAGAGGAATGATTCCCCCCACATCCTGTTTGCCATGGTCTCATAGTTAAATCCTAGGTGACATCCATAATGTGTTTCTTAGAGGGATGGCCAACTTAGCAGATACAGGCTTATCCTACCTTAAAGACTATTAGGAAGAGAGATTCTAGAATGTTCCAATTTCTTCCATGGCTTATTGTAAAGAACATATATAGCACACCTAATCTAAACCTCCTCCAGCTGCAACTTTATTTCCATTTATTCTGTGCTCAGTATAGAATAAGACAAAACATTCTTCAGTACATCCTATTTAATAACTCTTCAGATATTTGAAGACAGTGATCAAGTTCATTTCTGCTGCTTCTCTGAAATAAATCCTTTCCAACGTCTCCTCCTGGGGCCTATTAAAAATGCCCTCAGTCACTTGGTTGCCTTCCGATGGATGCTCTCTGAAAGCCTCTGAATGTGTCTGATCTCTGTGATTGACATCCAATCCTCTGGATGCTTTCTGCAAGCCTCTGAGTGTGTCTGATCTCTGTGATTGACATCCAATAGCTGCTACAAGGAAATGATTCAATAATACACATAGGTTCCCAGGGCATACTCTGTACTGTGTGGTACCAGCTGCTCAGACTCCATTTACAATGCCACTCACTTATGGCCTCCTCTTTAGGTGCCATATACTACATACTGCTCTGGGGAGCTGCCTCCCAGGAGAGATGAGGAATTTGCTCTCCTCCACAATTAGCTCTGAGTCTCCTCTACACTCACAGGACAAACCCAGCAGTGCAATCCAATCTCCAGGGCACCCCATGCCCTAAGGGACCAGACTTCTCTGATCCCACGTGTCTGTCCAGCACCTTCCTCCACTTCCTTCTTCTGCCCTCCCTCCCTTGGAAGCTTCTCTGGAGAGCCCTCCTTCCAGAAATCGCTTGCACAAAACTCCCCATCTCTGGCTGTGCTTGGAGGGAGGCAGATGACTGATGTAATTCACCCGGCATGGGGAAGTGGTCTCCACGCCAACAGAACAACAACGGCAAATACCAAGTGCTTTGCTTATTTTTCAGAGCAACACTGACTCAGCAGCAAATCACTTTTCTGTTTTAAAATGAGTGAGGTTTAGAGTAAGGTACACCAAGGTAAATTGAGTTTGTGTATCACTGTTTCAGTTGCAAGGATTTAGGCCTTCAAGATTCTGCTCATCGTGACTCAGTCTGTGGCTCCATAGTACTGTGGAAGTTTGCATTCGTTTTTAGACTTGCCTTAGAAGTGGTTACACAGTGCCGGAGCAACTGTACACAGATTTTTCGTTGAAAATACAGTCAGCAACAGTCCAGGAAATCCCCTAATAAATGATGGCCTCCCTTCCATAAATATGCCCCAGTGTCTTAAAGGCTAAGCCGGCTTCTTTTAGTACTTAATTTAACTCAGAGCACAAAAACAAAATAAAAAACAAATGAGTAAAATGACACAAATAATTCATTTCTATTGAAGAATAAAATTATGCAACATCTTAAGCTATATCAAACATTTAACCTTTGGATTATTCAAATAGTTTGTGATGCATCTTACTAAACAGATGTTTTTATAATTTATGTTAAGTTCTTCTTGTTAAGTGCCATGGAGTGGTTCTGACTTGTAGTGACCCCGTGTAGGATTTCCATGGAGCAGCTTGTTAATATATTGAAATGATCTTTGATTTTCATTGACTATTTTATGTCATTGATCACATTTTTAGCAATAACTACAAGAGGCTTGTGAATCTGGCAATGACAATCACAGAGACTCTTCCCTTATTAATGTGGCCCACAAATGAAAAAATCTGCGATTTTAACTTTCTCTTATGCCTTCACTGAACACAGAAATTTCACCTTACAAGTGGAGTAAGGATCAAACCTGAGGAGTATGTGACGGTCACCAAAGTATCATTAAAACACTACTTTAAATCATATAATGCTAGACCCTTTGATGATCCAAGCCATGTTTATTTTTCTGCATGTAGAAATTCCATTTTCCCAACACCACCCTTGTCAAAACTCAGTTGATCTTACTGATACATGTTGCCCTCGGTCGATTCCGACTCAGAAAAGTCCCGTGGGACAGAGTGTAACAGCGCTATAGGGTTCGCTTCATGGAAACAGACTAGCACAGTTTTCTCCTGAGGAGCAGCTGTTTTTGTGGTGTATTCAAACCGGAGCCCTTTCAGATCGTAACTTAGCGCTGAACCTCTGTACCACCAGGGCTCCTAGCTGACGGTTTATATGGATTCAGTCCCGAAACGTTTTTAAACGTAAAGCGGTCAAGCAGCCCCAAATGTCAACCAAATATTTGCCAGCTTACCCTGGCAAGTGCCTCCTCGATGGTGATCATTTTCTCTTTGACCATCATCATGAGCTGGATCCGCTCCTCGTCACTCATTGTTATTTCACTGGCGATGTACCCAACATCTTCTCCTGGGGATGGAAGACAAAGGCTATAAAGAAGAGTGGGATGAAGCAGAAAACCCAGCTTGAAGGCCTGTACCCTAGGGCTGAAGAGGGTGGTACGTAGGGCCGATGTGGTCTGCTACTGGCAACGCTGCTCATTAGGAAGCCAAGACCAATTGCTGTTGAGCTGATTCCTCCTCATGGTGACGCCCATGTGTTTCTGAGTAGAGCTGCACTCTACAGAATTTTCATGGTTGTGACCTTTCTGAAGCAAATTGGCAGGACTTCTTCTAAGACACCTCTGAGTGGATGTGCTAAGTAATGTAACCCAACACTTAACCCTCTGTGCCACTCAGTGACCACAGGAAATGAAATGAGCTCATTTAATTTTGGAAACAAGCTTGAAGAACCTAAATACAAATGCTTCATAGACACAGATCCTTCCAACTCATCAGAGCATTTGTGATGTCGGATCTAGGGGGAGGCATTTTGGAAGAATGTTGATGAGGATTTCCTAGTTAGAGGTGGGGCACAGGGCTTATGTAAACACTCAAGTAAATCTGACAACTGTTTTAAGGCTCCTTGGGCTGAGGAGTCTCCACATCCTTCCATGTGTCGTATGGAAGGGAAGAAAATACTTGTGCAGAGGAATGGGATGGAATTCCCTGTTGTGGCCGAGGAACGGAAGGCCACAATCAAGTGCAAAACCAAACCTGAAGTCTTGTCAAACCCTACACTCCTACTAAGCTATGAGGCTGTTGTTCCACAGAGGATGAGCTCAAAAAAAATGAAGAAAATTACACAAGTTGAGCATTTTGAGTTCACAGAAAGGCAGGTCATATGTATGTTTTCATGGCAGAAATACATCTTCAGAATATAAGAGATATGTATGTGTTTCCAACTCGAAACTGAAGGCAGCCAGAACTATAAGGAAGCGAGAATTCTCCTGTGAGGTTCCTTCTAAAGTGTTTTCCTGCAAAGCAAACAGATTGCTGTCACCTCTAATATATTTGAGCTGTGCTGGCCACTTGTGTCCTTGGTGAGTGCGTGGGGAAGCATACATGAGTAAAGTGAGTGGGGATTCATAGACTGGGAATAAGCCCGTATCCAAGGCCCTCATCCCTCGCCTCAGCCTGTCCTCCTCACACACACTTCACTACCTTCTGGTGTCATTAGGATGCTGCCTGCAGCCTAGCCTGCCCTTGGTATGCAGGGGAGTGCAGAGAGGTGGCCTACAGGCTGGGCAAAGCCCTTTTCTCTCTAGGCCTACCTCGGAATCCATGTTACCCTGAGTCTCCTTTCCTCATAACCATTTTGTAATCAGTCAGTCTCAAAATAGCATTTGAGTTGCCTTGCCACTCATCTACTTCTCAGGAAGAACATTTGTGTGCTGGCTGGCTCGATGTGCTTTCTTGTGTCTCCCCCAGTGTTGGGGGGTGAGAGAGAATTGGTTGAGTTTTAGAAAATCCATGTGAGCTGCTGAATTGTTGTCTTCCTCTTTCTGCCCCCCCCCCTTTTTCCCCTCACTTCCTCCCACTCTCCCTTCTCTCCCTCTCTTTCTAAATAAGACTTTGTTAGAATCCAGGGTTTATTTTGAATCACAAATGATCCTGGGCGTGCACCAAAAGGAAAAACTGGGAACAATGAAGAAGAAAAACTCCCTTAAATCAGGACAACTTAAAAAAATAACCACTGTTGAGTGCTGCCAAGGCACCCAGCTGTACTACTGGTCTCTCTATCTGCTGTCCGTGTCTCCTCTTCTCAGTCTCACCTGGATAACTAACTGGAGAAGCTTCCGATCAGGAAAGGACACTAAGGTTTTGTAAAGGAAAACAAGCCGTGCGGGTGGAGAGAGAGAGAGAGACTTGCAATTTTCCTCTAACGATAACCTCATTCAGCTGGCCTAGAATCTTGGACGTGGCTTTCTGCTCTGAATACTGGGGAAACATAAATTCTAGAACTGGGCTTAAACGAATGGCATATTTACTTACTGTATAAACAACAACAAAAGACCAAGTGCCAAGGGGAGGGCAGAACCGCTTGTACAAAGCATCCTTGGCCATCTCCCACAATAGCAAGACCGCTGGAGTCTCCAGGGGCAACGACCCCCTGACTGCCGCAGCTATGAAGGGGCTTTAAAAGTTCAGGGGATTCCAGTGGCCCCCAGGGGTGGTGGTGGGACAGGGAGAGGGTCCCAAATGAACAACATAACTAGACTTGCTGGACTTTTTTCAGCAAGCTCTTGGTAGGTTAAGGGCCGACTTTCCTGAGGTTGGTGTGACTGAGAAAATGGAACTGGTCTTAGCTGTCAGTTTGACAAAAAGGAGAGATGGCTAACTCCTTGTATTTTGTTTTCTTTGATTGAAAAGGGAAACTCAGCACTGGGATGCAGTCTTAAAAGCAATGGCAAGAATCTCAGGACAGTCCAAAATTTTACAGGCACATGTAATGGGTTATTTTAACTTACAGCATCCATTCAGATGAGAGACACAGACTTAACATTTTAGAGCTATAATGTCCTGTCTGCCAACTGTGTTACTGTACCTTTTGAAGTCTGTCTCATTATTCCTTTCTGATTCTTTCGGAAGTTCTGCCAGAAATACTTATTTTTCTTCTTCCAATCTCCTTTTCCTTTAAAAGAAAAAAGAAAAGGCACAAGCAATAAATTCATTAATAACAAAAGTTGCCTTTTCCTTCTCATTCAAACTTGTAGGGAATACTTTGATTTCACACACAAAGAAGACAGTTTTTCTCTTCTGGTTTGTGAAAGGCTGAGCAATGCCTACAAAGTTGTTTAGAAAGAAAGGCAAACTTCCTACTAGCAAGAAATGACACAGTGGGGATAAGATGAGATGTAAAAACACATCAAAATGGCAGGAAAAGCTCCATTTGTGCATTCGCTTTGATGTCTGTGTATCTAGCAGGCCTAATTCTGCTTTGTTTTGTGGCATATTTTCCCCCCTTTGGTCTTAGCCACAATCATTTCAACTATACCCCAAATTGGATCCTGTAAGAAGTTAACTTTGTTTGGTTTTTCCTGTTTTGATGTGATTGCAGTCGCGGCTCTATCCTTGGCTTGGTTCTGTCCCTCCAGATTTAAAGTAGAACATGGTAGGGTTGGCATGCTGCGTGCCCACTGGTCAACAGGCCAGCACAGCTGGTTCCACAGGTTTGTGAGGTTCACCTGGGCTAATCCCTCCTGCTTACCTGGGGTGAATATGGCATAGATTTAGGTATGGCAGAGTAGAGTTTGACTTCCACCTCTCTGGCATTTAGGCTATGGGGTGACCTACCTATAGCCTGCCCAGGGCACAATGACAGGAGAGACAGACTGCCAGCCTGCTGTGACATCCTGAACAAAGAGCTCCCCTCCCAGCCTCACCTCCACCCTGCCTGCCTTCATTGCTATAGCCAGACATTGTTAATATACAGTTGTTCAGTAATCAATAATTAAGAAGAGGCTTCAACAAGTTCATGGAAAAATGTATATAAAAGAAAATGGAATCTTCCACAAGCTTGCTGATGCCCCCTTGTATGTAGTACCTTTTAAAAAGCAAAGGAAAAGGGGGCACTAACCACTATGGGTCCTGGGGTGGCGCTTGGGCTAATGCGTCAGACTGCAAAGTCGTTTGAACTGCCAAGTGGGTGGTTCAAACTCACCAGCTGCTCCTTAGAAACCCTATACAGGGTCACTATGGGTCAGAACCGACTCAATGGCACTTAACAGCCACAAGCACTATGAAAGGACAATGCAGTCCTCCACTCTTTAAAAGGTGTTTTGGTGTGGCACTGTCGGAGAAGCACTGGGCCACAAGGTCGGAGGTTCAAACCCACCAGCTGCTCCTTAGAAACCTGGACAGGGTCGCTATGAGTCTGACCCTACTGACATAACAACAACAACTCTTTAAAGAGAAATAGAGCGACCAGGGCCGCACGCTGAATCACCATGTACCATCTGGTTGCTCCAAAACCACTGGCAACGGCTCCACGTGGAGAGACGCATATTGGTTTCCACAGTCTAGACTGGTGGGGCCGAGCATGACAGTATGAAGCAGACAGTGGAAACCCGTCCCAGGGTGCTCCCTGGCTGCCTTCACATAAGACCTCACAGCCCCAGAGCTGTGGGGATGAAACAGGAGCTGGGAAACCTTGGAGACCCCAAGGCCAGGCTGATGGCGCCGGCTGCCTTAAACACTAACACTGAACCAGCAGCAGGATTATAATGAGCTCCGCCTTGCTCTGGAGCAATTTGGGACTGTCAGGCATTTCTCTGAGTGTCAACTATTGCCCTTACCCCACCCGATCTGAATGTTTCTGAAATGCAGCTATAGCTTAAAAAGAAATGATAAAGGCTAACATTTACTCAGCATCTACTATAATATCTTGGCATTTTGCCATCCGATGGCATATCTCAGTTAGTACAATGTACATAGGAGATACAATAGATTCAATTTAGTAGATGAGAAAACATAAGCTTGGAGTGATAAATGACTTGCCCAATGTTATAACTGTTAAGTTGATAGAGTCCCGATTCAGGTCCAGGCAGCCTGCTTTGAAGGTTTGTGTTCCTGACCTTGCCAAGTTTCCCATTTACCCTCTGACCCCAATAGAAAAGCTGTGTGGCACCGTAGGGTCAGCACTGGACTGTGAACCACAGGGTCAGCAGTTCAAACCCACCAGTCACTCCTTGGAAACCCTATATCGGGTCGCTATGAGTCGGAATCAACTCGATGACAATAACAACAAACAACAACAGTGAAGTAAAAAAAAAAAAAAATACAGAGGTGATTGTTATAACAGCTGTCAATAAGCTGGACACCTGTAAAAAGCTGAACTGACAGAAGGTGTGTGATCGATATATTTACAACAACAACAAAAGAGGCTGCTGTGTATAACCAGACACCTCGTGGGATTTGGTTCCTGGGACATCCCAGTTAAGTGGGATGTTGAGTACTGCTGCTCTGCCTCCTGGTTCACTGCATGGTGCCTGGGATTGTAAAAGTTTTCAGGCGAACATCTAAGGCACATCAATTGCTCTCTATTTACCTGGAGCAACAGAGGAAGAACGTGAGTCACAAAAAGGAGGAGGATATGGGAGGCGTGGCTAACGGCCTCCATCACCAACAGCTTGCTTTGGCATGAAGCCAGAAGAACTGGATGGGACCAGGATACCTCTACTGAACATCTTGATCAAAGACTCTGTAAAAGAATCCTGATTAAAAGGGGGAGAGGGGGAACGTAGAACAGAATTTCAAATTCCAATGAACTCTAGGCTCTCTCGAGCCTTGGAGGTAGACTGAGCCCCTAAAATTATTGTCCTGAGGTAAGTTTTAAGCCTTAAACCAAAAAATATTCCTATAAGCCTTCTTAAAACCAAACCTTTATCTGTTGTTGTTGTTAAGTGTCGTTGAGTCGGTTCCGACTCATAGCGACCCTGAATAGGGTTTCCGAGGGTGTAAATCTTTACAGGATCAGAAAGCCTCATCTTTCTCCCGCAGAACAGCTGGTAGTTTCAAACTGCTGACCTTGCGGTTTGCAGCCCAATTCGTAACCACTACGCTACCAGAGCTCCTTACAATTGTCTGTAAGACTTCTTAAAACCAAACAATTTAACTAGTAAAAAAAAAAAAAAAATGGCTACTTTGAGCATTCTGCTCTTTTCAGAACTATCTATATGGGACGACAGCGATTTATAGATTACACTCACTGCAAGGGGACAATGAGTGGATGTTAATAGTGTAGGAACAGCTCAGAAAAGGAGGGTGAGAAGGGGTACACAACTCAAAAAAGATTATCACTGTCAATGACGTGCACATGTGGAGACTGCAGAACTGGCTGAAGGGGTTCTGCTGCGTCTGTTCTCTACAACAATAAAAATTTAAAAGAAATGCTATCAATAGCCAATTAAAAAATGTAAAAAATAAATGTTGCTTTTGGTAGCTGGAGTCGAGTCTGCTCCCCTGTGACTCTCTGTAGGGTTGCTGAGGCTGTAAATCTTTGAGAGCAGAAAGCCTCGTTCTCCCACGGAGCAGCTGATAGGTTTGAACTGTCGAGCTTGCAGTTAACAGTCTATTGTCTATACTACAGTGCCAACAAAAAAAAGGTGTTGCTGTGAGTCAATCTGACTGACAGTGACCCTGTAAGATGGAGCAAAGCTGCCCGACAGGGTTTCCAAAGCTGCTCTTCACAGAAGCAGACGGTCACATCTTGCTCCCACAGAGAGGCTTTCAGTGCGCAGTCAAGTGCTTGACAACCAGCTCACTAGTGGTTGTTGTTGTTAAGTGCCATCAAGTCAGTTCCGACCCACTATGACCCTATATAGTTTCCGAGGAGCGACTGGTGAGCTTGAACCGCCAATTGCAGTCCAGTGCATTAACCCACAGCGTCACACCAGGACACCAACCAGCAACTCCATAGCAGCATCACTATAGTCCCTTATATAATCCTTTCATTGAGTATAATCTTTGAAACCAGGATTTCAAATCTGTGGATTTATCAAAAGAACTCGATAAGCAATAAGCAAAAGATTTTTACAGCAGTATCATTCGTGTTCAATAGTGAAAACATTAAAAACAACTTAAATACCCAACAAAGAAGAGACTGGTTAATTAAATGATAGCACATTCAATATGGTGAATATATATAGACTTAAAAGTTAGACTGTAAAGAACATTTAATCTAGTGGGGACATGTTTACGACACATCTACTTAAAAAAAAAAAATCATAACTATGCTTTAAAAAACAGAACAAAACCAAAAACATATCCTCTCCTCCACCACCACCTCGCCCCTCGCCCCAAAAGAGAGTGAGAAAGTGAAGTTGTACATTAAAATGCATTAAAAGGAATTCTTTATGAATTCTGTATTTTCACATACAAGGGTACATCAAAAAGACTGTGGGAAAATGGAGTTGAAAGAGAATTCCATTTTTTCCAAGAACTTTTTGAAGCACCCTTGTATTTATTTTCTACATAGTATGAAAAAGAAAATAATTATTTAAGTAGTTAAGCCAAGGAAAGTGGTACTGACCTACAGAGCTGTCTTCTGAGTTTGATTTATGAAGAGGATTCCTAGAAAAGAAAAGAAAAAAGCAAATTATTAGGGAGAACTGGCTTCACGAGAGGAGAGAAAACTCCTAGCTGTTTGACCCAACATCAATTATTTCTTAGCAGGGCCAGGGAAATGTTTACAGGATATTTACCACTGGCCTTTCACAGCCACCTGCCACCTTCGAAGACACAGGCTTGTGTGCCACGTGTCACCATTTATTAAAGACCCACTCCAGAGAAATGCCTATATTAAATGACAAGAATGGACTTCTTTCGGTGACCGCTGACGTACTTCCATTTCTGTGAACACTTAGCAGCAAGCTAAGTGGCTGCCATATTGACAAGTCTCTTGTGTTAAGTGGGAAAGGAAAGGTAAAGAATAGTGAAAATAGAGGCCCAGAACCCCAACCACAAAGGCCAGTGAGAACGGCAGGTGAGTAAAGTAGTTGGTTGTAGAGAGATAAGAGGAGAGGGGAAACTGCAGCCAAGAGGAGATGTTAATACCCCAGACACAGCCGAGACACGGCTCTGGATGCTGCCGTATGGCAAGTGGAATATATGTGCTCTAGGTCTTCCACTATCCAGAGAGAAATCACGGCTCTGCATTTTTCTATTAGTACTCCATGTTCTTCAGTCACGGCAAATAGCCCAGGGTTTTAAAAATGCCGCCAAGTGAATGATATATGCCTGGGCACCAGGCTTGGCCCACACCTCTCCCCCCTTGGCTGCCAGTTTGTGATCCTGAGACTAATCAATTCAAACAACCTGGAGTATGCAGACCCAAACTAATTAATTAATCGTTTCTCCAGAAGATACATAGGAGCAAAGATTGAAGTTGTCAAAGCCTTCATTTTGCTCATTTCAACCACCAACACTTATGGAAGCAGCAGTCAAGAAATCAAACGACGTATTGTGATTTCCTTGGGAAACCAAGGAAAGGGAATATTGGTTGTCTGAGAGGAGAAGAGGAAAGCTTGGATCAAAATCTTTCATTGTTGTTGTTGTTATTGGTAGTGACTCATAGCAATCCTATGCCCAACAGAACGAAACACTGCCTGGTCCTGGGCCAACCTCACAATCATTGCTGCTACACTTGAGCCCATTGCTGCTGCCACTGTGCCAATCCATCTCACTGGGGGTCTTCCTCTTTTTCTCTGACCCTCCACCTTACCAAACATATCCTTCTCCAGGGACTGGTCCCTCCCGACAATATGTCCGAAGTATAAGAGATGAAGTTTGGCCATCCTGGCCTCCAAGGAGCACTCTGGCTGCACTTCTTCCAACATGGATCTGTTGGTTCTTTTGGCAGCCCATGGCACTTTCAATATTCTCCTCCAACACCATAACTCAAAAGCATCAATTCTTCTACAGCCTTCCTTATTCACTGTCCAGCTTTCACATGCATACAAGGTTACTGAAAGTAGCATAGCTTGGGTTAGGTGCACCTTACTCCTCAAACTGATATCTTTGCTCCTCAGCACTTGAAAGAGGTTTTGTGCAGCAGATTTGTCTAATGCAATACGTCGTTTGGTTTCTTGACTGCTGCTTCCATGAGTGTTGATGGTTGATCCAAAAAGAACGAAGTATATGACAACTTCAATCTTTTCTCCATTTATATTACTGTCATTAATTACTCCAGTGGTGAGGATTTTTGTTTTCTTTACATTTTACTACTCATCTGTCAGTTTGTCATACTGTGGTGGCTTGCGTGTTGGTGTGATTCTGGAAGCTACATCACAGGTATCATTTTTAAAATCGTCCATTAAATAGGGTCAAAGCCCAGAGAGCAAGTTTAGTATCCCTGGGTTTGCTGGTGATCAAAATGAGGAAGAAAGAGCCCACATCAGAAGAAGAGACAGGCATCATAAAAAAAATAAACATCTAAATCTTTACTGTTTGATCAAGCACCAAAAAGGAGGAAAAACAGGTATCTGGCAGAAGACTTCTATAAGCAGAACATCCAAACCACCTAGTAGTGATTTTCCATGCAGGCAAAAAGGTTCTGCAGGATAATGTGCTGGCCTACAGGGTTGGTTTGAACCACAAGGTCAGTGGTTCAAACTTGCCTCTTGCTCCTTGGAAGCCCTATACAGGGTCACTATGAGTTGGAACTGACTCGACGCCATTTAAGAACAGGATTAGGTGACCAAAGAGACGGTGATCCAGAGTTCACTTGCCCTGTAGTCCACATACCTTAATGCTGCCTGGCCACGGGAGCCAGTCAGATAGATGACCCGGGTCCCCACAATTACATCATGCTTCCAGTACTTGAGGAGGGAACCGATTTCTAGTAGACTAACACGACAATCTGACACAACTGTATTGTCAACTAGGGAAGCTGAAAAACTAAGAACAGAAACAGGGAACAAGAGCTAGACTGGAAGTCCAGTTATTTCCCTTAAAACTATGCTGAGCTCTGAAAATGTCAGGAGAATCTATTGTATCATCCAATTGTACCCACAATTACCTTCTACCGTTTACCTCCTGTCCGTACACAAAAGAACATGGCTAAACAAGTATGAGGGTCCTGGTATGGGCGCTGGAGGATAAAGCACTAGACTACAAGGTTGGCTTCAACTACACGGTCCGCAATTCAAACCCACCAGCTGCTCCTCAGAGACCCTAGTTGCTATGAGTCGAAACCTAGTCGAAGGCCTGTTTGTACTTGAATGGATTCTAGGAAGTGTTTTTTGTTGTTAGGTGTCATCAAGTTGGTTCTGACTCACAGCAATGCTATGTATATGTTGAAGTACACACTATGACACACTGCTCGGCCCTGTGCCCTGCTCACGGCTGGGCTTCAGGTTTGAGCACATTGTGGCAAAATCTGTGCCATCCATCTTGCTAAGGATGTACTCTACCAAACCATTTGTTCTTCTCCAGGAGCAGGTCCTGTTTGGTATCAGGAAATAACCATTTCAAATTCTAATTCTTTCAGAAAAAAAATGTATAGAATGTTATTACAAATGGGGTACATGACTGAATATGAAGAAACAAAACCCCCATTTTGGGGGAGGGGGGCAAACATGAACAAAGTACATGCAGAGAGGAAGAAAGGAATGTGGGTAATGTGCTTAGAACCTCAGTTCTTACTTATGAGTAAGTCAGAAGAGCTGGCAATGCAAACAGGCAACAGATGGGTGGAGATTGAAGGCAAGAAAATCTTCAAAGAGAAACAATGTTCAAGCTAAGGTTTGGATTCTTTATTTTCTGGTTCTTTTTTTTTTTTTCCACTCTGTAGTATTTTGTACTCAAAATCATGATCACAGGTACGAATCTACTTTACTTCAGCAGCATGAGTGTAGATGAGCAGCACCTCATGCAAAGGAAAACCCATATTTGCTTTTCTACTCGCTCTAAGGACAAGGAACATCTTCAGCTAATTGATAAGGACCATCTAATATCAACTACCCTAAGGCTTTCTGCTCCCGTAAAGATTTACAGCCTTGGAAACCCTGTACAGAGTCGCTATGAGTTGGAACCGACTCCACGGCACATCACCACCACCACCACCACCAAGCTCTTTACCCAGTGGTGGCTCATTTCTGTTCTTCTAATCTATTTTTAAGTACTTCTGTCCTATGAGAATGGCTAACTTTATAAAAACCATCAATAACGTTGCTGAAAAGACAAGTCGGTTCCGACTCATACTGACCCTGTCTGGGGTTTCCAAAGAGGCTGTAAATCTTTTTGGGAGCAGAAAGCTGCATCTCTCTCCCACAGAACTGCTGGTAGTGAGGTTAGCAGCCCAATTCGTAACCGCTACACTATCAGGACTCCCTAACTACAGAATCAACTAAAAATACAAACGTGAACTTTCATTTTTTTCTAAGAGAAACCTTTTCATGGGAAAGTGGTCAAAAGAAATGTAACATTTCTTTAGGCCTTTACTGATTTCGAAGAAGAAACACTGACTTGTAAGGAATGACGCCATAGAAACTCAATGCCAATGGTAAGGAAACTATGGCCTCCGTAAGTTAAGGAAGTGGCCCACAGTTCTGAGGCTGACTCGAGCAGACAAGAGGCCAGTCCCATATATTTGCTACCCCCACCTCAGTTTTCTTTTCAGCATTCATTTCACCTTCCTTAGCCTGGATAAAATGAGTACAACGATTATCTCTGTTCTAGTCTTGAAAATGCCAAAAGCTCATCTCGGTTCTTCAAATCCATTTTTTAGTACACCTGTCCTATGAGAATGGCTAACTCTATAAAAACAATCAGAAGTTAACGTTGCTGAAAAGGCAAGTCTTACGACTCTCACAGCCATCACAGAATTTGATTATAGTTTCCTCCTTAAAATGCTGACTTATAATGTTTTTGATATTTTTGTCTTTCTTCAAATTCTCACACATTTTGAATTATTTATCTTTGAGTTTGGCCTTTGGCTCTGTCCTCCTCTTCCTATAAATCACTTGCAGTTTCCAAGGAAGCCAGCAGAGGGCACTGTAGTTTCTCGATTCGGCTTACTGGGATGAGGTCAATTTGTAGTGTTTTTTAAAAATCTCACCAGTTCACAATCCAGGTAGCGGCCAAAGAATAACAAGCCAATGTTTCATAGGTGTGAGGCTCCCCCACTCACCAATTTTCAAAGGGGGAAAACGACACAGTATGAAGTTTAATTTGGATGCGGTGAATTGCCCCAGCAAGCAGAAGTGAGCGGAGCAGCCATGTGAAATGTCATCCCTTTTCTCCTTGAGACTGATTAGAAAGTTCATCCAGCAGGAGCAAACAAAAACCAATGATGTAACCAAATTCTAAATATGGATGGCAGCAGGTGAACGGGGCCATTTACTGATCTCCTGGTGGAAGAAATTAATGCTCACAAGTCAGCTCCAAAGACCTCCTGGTGGAACATCCCTCTTCCAACCAACACGCAGGCCAGAGGTTGGCAGGAGCTGGGAGCAGGCCTGTCCGTGGGTCACTGTCAGTGAGGGTTTCCATACTTACCATTCTGATATGCTTTGGAAAATCTAGTTATGCATTTAGTGATCATCATGTATTGCTTTTAAAGTCTGAACTCA